GGTCGATAGGATTATTGAGGAATTCTAGGATTTGAGGAGTTCTCTCAGATACTGTTGTGCACGTCCACAGTGCGCTATGCACTCTTATGTGGGGCTCTTGACGTATCAATCATCGAGAATGGATGATTGGGAAGGAAAAAGCATAGAGGATAGGGGGATATAAGGACAGAACGTCACAATATATACAGTGGGTCAAAAAAGTCTCCGTACATCAAGCATGAAAATTTTTAGACATGTATAATTTTTAAAATATAGCAGTTAATAAAAAATATATATATATACTGTAACGTTCCATCCTTATACCCCCCTATCCACGGAAATTATACATGTCTAAAAATTTTCATGCTTGATGTACGGAGACTTTTTTGACCCACTGTATATATTGTGACGTTCTGTCCTTATATCCCCCTATCCTCTATGCTTTTTCCTTCCCAATCATCCATTCTCGATGATTGATACGTCAAGAGCCCCACATAAGAGTGCATAGCGCACTGTGGACGTGCACAACAGTATCTGAGAGAACTCCTCAAATCCTAAAATTCCTCAATAATCCTATCGACCTCTCACAACGACGCCGATAAAGGAAAGGGAAGACAGGACTTTTAAATCTCTAATATTGCATAATTCCCTTGAATTTAGTCACAGCGACAGTCATGAGGATATAATATTAGAAATTATTACTTTTAATATTCCTAGAATCCGAAATACAGTCGACAGAATGAAATCAAAACAAACAAGTGCCCAGACGCTATAAGCCGGCACGCGCCGAAGACAATAGAAATACCAGTAAGCCGGTACTTTAAGAAACCGCTAATCGAATCAGTCAAATCAAATAGTCAAATCCAATCATAAATCAAAATATTGAATCCAAAAAGCGACGTTAACACCTCGGGTGGATAAAAATCGTTATCCCCACTAGTTTTAACGTATGCCTATCGAGGATATAAGCAGCGGCTTCCTCGATAGGAATTCATTCGGTCCACTCGTATCTATCTAGACGAATAGACAAGACCCTTGTACACCACGAGATGGCAAGAAGCTAGTAAATATTTGGAAAGTGTAAATTATCAAAAAGCTAGGAGAAAACCAATCTTCTGTTCCAGAGCGAACCAGTGAAGAGTATTGTACTGCAAACTGTGGGAACTCATCCTCGGCAGTTCCTGGTCTTAGAAAGCATTGTGTCTCCACCCTGTATCAGGAAATCTGCTATCCTTGTAGATATTCTGCATCGAAAGCATTGTGCTGGAGCTGTTAGAAATCCACCACTACAGAACAACCACACTCCTTAAAAAGCTCAGATCCCAATATCATTGTGATTAGTAGCTGTCTGAGCATTCCATAGTTCTTACCAGGCCTAAGGAATCATTGTGATACCCCCTAATGTCAGGAAGGGCATCCCAATTCCCTGTGCATTCTCCTGCAGTGAAGTTATTGTAATAGAACTGCCAGGACTGCAGACCATCCACAAAAACAACCGACCTTAACCAGTTAACTGTGATTGACGAGTATACTCGTCTTGGAGAAGTGGCACGATTTTGTGTATTGACGAGTATACTCGTCATGCGTATAAAGTAGTGACCATTGGCTATTTAAATTGTAATTTTTGAGAAAAACAAAACATATTCTCAAATTTCAAGATGTTTAGAATATTTTGAAGCCAGGCCAGAATAAAACAAACGAATACAAAATATAAATAATTTGAGATAAACTCGTGCGTCCCGTATGCACCGACCGGCTTATCAGTTCGTAAAACGAATTTATTTGTTTGAATTCATATATATTATACAAAAAATATAATGGAACGTTATCGCGAATGAATTTTTTACTAGAATTTGTTGAGGATACTATTGCATCATATTCAATAACACGGGAAAAGTCGACACAAACTCGGCCGTCTAGGCCTAATGTAACACAATTACACGGGAATCATACTCTGGATTATATACCCGGAACTTCAAAAACAAAAAATCCTACCCGAAGATGTGCATGTTGTTATAAACGGAAAATCAGGAAAGAGTCTCGTTACTGATGTTACATTTGTAAAGTACCATTATGTGTAACACCCTGTTTTGCAGAATACCACGCCACAGCAGCAAGTTAAATTTTTGCATTTAATTATTCTTTTCATTTAATTTTTCTTGTGTCTTTTGACTAATAAGAATGTAATATATGTTTAAGTTAACAGAATAAATATAGATTAGTAATAAAAGTGTCAATTTTATAAAATAATCCCATCTTTTTGATACAATATCTTAATAGCGACACTTACTCGGTGATTGACGAGTATACTCGTCTTCGCTCGATTTCGGCGACACATATAGGTGCGCGCTCGCAAAAGGGGACGCCACAGTTAACTGGTTAAAAAGATTCAGCTCCCAATATCATTGTGATTAGTAGCTGTCTGAGTTGAACCTATCCTTAAAATAAGGGATTCAGCAAACGGGGTTCAATGTGATCTCCTGTGAGTACTGAGTCATTATCATCCGAACCAATAGCTGGCCCACGGTCTTCGGACGCATTGTGCAATCTGCTGTATTGTGGTTCTAGCTACCTCTTTCCAATCCAAAAGGCTAGCAGAGAGAATAAAGTAAACAAAAACACTTCTTGTCGCCTGTGGTACTACTAGCAACCTAGAGACAATTATAGAGTGTGTGCATCTGTGAGAGAGAGCAAACTAGTATATTAAGGATACCTAGTCTGTAACTTATAGGACAATATATCATTATTTTGTTATTTTAAAAACTCCAGTGTCTAAATTGTTTCTGAAGACGCCTGCCCAGTGCACAAACTCTACAAAAAGTCTCGTGATTCCGAAGGCTATAAAATCATGCAACGTCTCAATACTATTTTGAATTCTCTATGTACAACAGTGAAATGCAAAACAAGTTATTGACTATCTCACAGTTAGTTTATTATTAAATAAATATCAAAGATAAACTTAACAAAATCAGCGCCAAATAAGTCTCCGTACATAGCAACAAAATTGCGTGTCAGTTATCGATTTTTTAAATTCTAGCCGTGATTAATGATCGGTTGGTCCTTTTAGCTTTTAAAACTTTCCTCATGCGTTTTTCCATTGTGTTAACTAATTTTTCAGTCACAGTATGTTCGATACTGTTCCATTCGTGTAATATTGCACTTTTCAATTCCTTTTTGTTTCGAATATCACGTTTTTTAAGCTGTCGTCCTATTTTATCCCATAAGTATTCTATAGGATTCATGTCTGGTGATTGTGGAGGCGTATGGAGTTGTTTGGGCACGTTATATAACAACCATTCCTTAACTTTTCGCGCCGTATGTTTGGGATCGTTGTCTTGCTGGAATATAAAGGACTCCCCGAGATGTAATTTTCTTGCACTTTTATGTAAATTATCTTTAAGAATATTTAAATAAACATTTTGATCCATTTTGCAGTCAATAAATTCCAGATTTCCGACACCAAATGCACTCATACAACCCCATACTAGTACTCCGCATCCATCATGTTTCACGGTGGCACACAAATTCTATCATCCATCTGTTTATTTGGTTTCCTCCACACCATAACTCGTCCATCAGAACCAAAAACGTTAAATTTGCTTTCGTCACTAAATAATACCGAGTTCCAGAAACTAGAATGCTTATCCATGTGTGCCCCCGCGAACTCCATGCGTGTTGTCTTATTCACTTTACTGATAAACGGTTTTTTCCTAGCTACACGGCCGTTATATCCAGCTTTTCTAATAATATTTCGAATTGTTTCAGGTACAACCTTAATATTGTAATGCGTTTCAATCATACCGGCCAATTTCGGTCCACTTGTTTTCGGTTCATTTCTAATTGTTTTTAAAATGGCACGTTCATGATATGATTCCAACTTTCTTGGACGTCCTGTACGTTTTCGATTTTGAATAGAACCGGTATTATTGTATTTATATATAATATAGTGCACGATAGAATGTGATTTCTTTACTATTTGTGCAATTTTTCTGACCGAATGCCCTTCTTTTCTTAATTTAATAATCAATTCACGAATTGGGTTTGGTACTTTTATATCACAGAGTAATTGTAAACTGTATCGTCGTTTTCTGCTTGTTAATATTACACTGACATAAAATTTCCTCTTAATACATTTTGTCATCTTTGTTTATTTATATTATCCTTACCATTCGCACAATGTACAGAGACTTATTGGGCACTGATTTAGCTAAGTTTATCTTTGATATTAATTTAATAATAAACTAACTGTGAGATAGTCAATAACTTGTTTTGCATTTCACTGTTGTACATAGAGAATTCAAAATAGTATATATATATTTTATTAACTGCTATATTTTAAAAATTATACATGTCTAAAAATGTTCATGCTTGATATACGGAGACTTTTTTGGCCCACTGTATATATTATATATATATTATATACACAGGGTGTTCGTTATGAATCGCACTGTAGTAACATCGTTGCATTCCTTGTCAAATTCTAATGAATAGCTATATTTTCATTTTTTTATTACATATATCAAAATTTCGAGATAATCAAGGTTGAAGTTGCAGTATTGCGACCAATCAGAGCGCGTTTAAACGGAGCGTAGATGACGTCGGGAGTCAGCCTAAGACCTGCTTACCCTAGGCAGGAGCGTAGATGACGTCGTGAGTCAGCCCGAAAGACCTGCTTACACGAGGCCAATAATACTAAGAGTATTGTCGTAGTGTCCCTGTTTATCTGCATGTAATTGAGTGAGATACAATCGCTCGCTGTAACGTCACTGAGTTTCAGAAGGTACCCTTTATTCTTTATAATGTCTATTCCTTTAATGTGACAAGATAGTTGTACCAACGTATTAAATTTTGAGTGGTCCTGAAAAGGACCGATTTTGATCTACGCATGACCGAGCTTGGATCTGGACATGCTAATCTGCAACAATTGCATACATTTTCTATGATAATGATTATTCTGAAACAGTAAATATTGTAGAGTACGTAACATTTTTATCAGGATGTCGCCTATTAAGATACCTAAATACATATTCTTGCGCTGCTTGTGTTTGGCTGCTATAACATTGGGCTAACACCCAATACATGTCGCAATATTCTCTCATAGAATAATTACTCATAATGCGAACTGACTGTGCCCGCAATGTGAAGTGAAATAAGTTGTGATTTGTAAACAAGTCATTCGACCGCAGTAGACTTACTACTGTTTACAAATTACAGTCTATTTCGCTTCATATTGCGGAGACAGTCAGTTCTATCACTCGTAATGCGATCTTGTAGTCGAAACAACATAAATAGAACTGACTGTCTCCGCAATATGAAGCGAAATAGACTGTAATTTGTAAACAGTAGTAAGTCTACTGCGGTCGAATGACTTGTTTACAAATCACAACTTATTTCACTTCACATTGCGGGCACAGTCAGTTCGCATTATGAGTAATTATTCTGTGACAGAATATTGCGACATGTATTGGGTGTTAGCCCAATGTTATAGCAGCCAAACACAAGCAGCGCAAGAATATGTATTTAGGTATCTTAATAGGCGACATCCTGATAAAAATGTTACGTACTCTACAATATTTACTGTTTCAGAATAATCATTATCATAGAAAATGTATGCAATTGTTGCAGATTAGCATGTCCAGATCCAAGCTCGGTCATGCGTAGATCAAAATCGGTCCTTTTCAGGACCACTCAAAATTTAATACGTTGGTACAACTATCTTGTCACATTAAAGGAATAGACATTATAAAGAATAAAGGAAGGGTACTTTCTGAAATTCAGTGACGTTACAGCGAGCGATTGTATCTCACTCAATTACATGCAGATAAACAGGGACACTACGACAATACTCTTAGTATTATTGGCCTCGTGTAAGCAGGTCTTTCGGGCTGACTCACGACGTCATCTACGCTCCGTTTAAACGCGCTCTGATTGGTCGCAATACTGCAACTTCGACCTTGATTATCTTGAAATTTTGATATATGAAATAAAAAATAAAAATATACCTATTCATTAGAATTTGACAAGGAATGCAACGATGTTGCATTTCATAACGTTTCATAACGAACACCCTGTATATTGTGACGTGAATTTCGGAAATTCAGCCACAAAGATTGCTAGGAGTAGGGAAAAGACAAAATCCACCTGCAGCGATCCTCCAAACGTCAGTCACCCGACATTCCAAAGACGGGTTTGCTTGTCTCGCTTATCGTTTTTTGCACTCTGTTTCTGCCTATCGTCCTTTCTACTTATTTCTGTTCCGCCTTTCTGCTTTTTCGTTTTTATTTTTATTTTTGAGCTTTCCTATTCGCACTAGCCTACCTTCTTTACCGTCCTGGGCAAATCTACGTCTACACCACGAGCACGAGGGTGACCGCCAACGAGAGTTCCTGAGCTACCGGACGAGCGATCGACAGAGGTTGGACCAAACTGCTGTTCGTTCCGGAGGACTTCCGTGGACCCAAGGAGACCCGGGATGGGATCCCTCTACTACTTCTGCCAGCCGCCCATACGGACCACAAAAAAGGGCCTTCGCCACTCCTGCCGCCGATAGGAGGAAAGGATAATCCTCTATCGTGCCGCCCAGTCGCCGAACGTTCCCTAGCGTTCCTGTTATCAGTGGCCCCCGGAGAAGAAACCAGGGCCTACTCTTCGCTGGATCCTGCTGCTCGCACCGAGGACTCACGATCGGCCGCACCAAGGATTCCCGCGCTCAGCTCGGCTCTCTCCGCCTATCTGCGGACTCTAGCGCCTAATGCTTCGTCTCTGGCTATCGTCAAGCGTTAGATTTACCTATTCCGTATTATTATATTTTGCTATCGCTCTATCGTGCGAATTAGGAATTAATAATTTATGGAGGGGGGCCCCTAAGGCTCTTCCTCTAGCGACGAATTCCGACTCGTTCACTTACGTTTGGAGCGTCTTAGCCTGTGGTTATTTTCTCAAAAGTACCAATCGTGAACAAAGACTAGTCGATTTTGCCGTAATTGGACTTATTGAAATTGAAGGAAGGAAGTCCCTGAGCTTACCTTGCCCGATCTCGCTGTCTTTGAAAGTAGCCAAATTGAGGGAAGGAAGTCGGAAGACTTATTTTGCCATTCATTACTTTATCGATTTGGTGAGCACCTTTCGTTACCGTTATTTTGGAGATTTTGGTGAATTTAATTGCAGTAATCCCGTCTAGGCACCGGATATATTTGGTGAGCACCTTTCGTTACCTTTATTTTGGAGATTTTGTGTGAATTTAATTGAAGCAATCCCGTCTAGGCGCTTTGTCTCGACGGCAAATTTTCTCGCTTACCGGGACTGAATGTCGTTCCAGTCCCTCTAAGTAAAAGGACGATAGTGCCGGATACCGTTATCTCATTTGGTTTTTCTTTTCTTACCGTAGAGTACTTAATATTGAATATATTGTAATTAATTGCGTTCTGCGGTAACTTGGTGCTTTGGAATTGTCGAATCTTTTATAAGTTACCGATTATCTTCTCGACCACGTGGAAACACCTAGGGTCCCGGCGTCTCCGGCTGGGCCGTTTCCCGTTGAGTCTGTCCAGTTGTTTCTAGCGAATATCTTTTGGGGCTTTTCTATCTTTTCCGGCGTTATATGTCGCTTTATTCTATTGAACTTTGACTTTAAATAATTCTTATCTTTGCCTGATATTGCCCATGTGTTTCTCGATTTCATTATTAGGAATGGCATCCTCCTCTTTATTTAATTAATATTTCGATTTCTGGAAACTCATAATTACTGTCTTAGTGTAATATTTTCGATACCTTGCGCCGTTGGTCGAGCGTAGAGTGACCTTTTTTTTTTGAGTAATCACCCGAGTCGACAATACAGGACGCACTGACTATCAGTGGCGTACCTATTAATTTATTTTTGCCGATCACACTATTCTGGCGATCATTTTTTTCGAGAGCTTGCCATTTCTTGTAACTAATTTACCTTATTTGTATTACCTGTGTTAATTTATTTAAGTGTATTTTATACCTGTGCGCTGATCGTCATATTTATATCGTGCGTGTTCTGACTCTTTCCAATTGTCGGGAAATTTCGCGAGTGAATTTGTTATCGCTTTTTCATACCGATGCGAATTTAATCCTTTGTTCTCGCGTGTATTTCGTAGTTCCCGATTGATTGAAATATTGTCGAAAGTATATTTTGCGTCGGCGCGGATCCGTCCCGCTGCCGTGTCGTGTCGCCACAGGGCCGTAGTCCCTCGCTAATTCCGCGTTTCGTTTTAAGAATTTTTGTTTATATAGCATCCCTCCAGAACCTATCACTTTGTATTAGTACTTTAAGGATTTTGTTACTTGGTTTCGCTTTCGCACGTCATTGAATCTCGCTAACAATTTACTTTATCTTTTCTGCTTTTGACACGTTGTAGTTTGCTGTATGGCTTGCATGCCGCTTTCTTGCTTTTCCTAATATAGCTTCGGTGCGTTAAACTTACTTATTTCTCTCTGCTATCTTTCTTTTACCTATTCTCTTTATCGCATGTCTATTCCTTCTCCCATCTAGCCTCTTGAACGCCACGACGCTCTCCCAGGTGAGGTAGCCTCTGAACCGGGTATACCTTTGGAGTTCTCGTCGACCGCTTGATTCTCTCTCTCTCGCTTCTATTTCTACTTTTCTTCGTGCTTCTCTCTATTATCTTGGCGGTGTCGCCGTATTCGTGTCTCGCTTGTCTCCCCTATTTGGCGGTGTCGCCGTTTGTGACTTCGTGCTTTTACGTTCTTGGCGGAGTCGCCGTTTATTATCTTTCTCTTTATATTTTGGCGGTGTCGCCGTTTATTAATCTTTCTCTCTTCTATCTTGGCGGAGTCGCCGTTTCTTACTACGCTCTTTCCTATCTTGGCGGAGTCGCCGTTCCTATTTCCTTTTCCCTTTCGTTGTTCCGAGCTTTCCCGCGGTCTCTTCAGATTTTCTAAGATCTCGAGTGCCCTGCACTCGCGGTGTTCTCCCCGGAAATCACCTGGCGCCCAACATCATTTAGTTTATCGCGTATCGGGTCTCGTTAATATCGAAAATCTGGTGAGAGAGAATTATTCGGCGTTTTGCGTACGGTTCCCTACTTTCTGAATACCTTTTATCGTCAATATACTCTAGCGGTGAGATTTTGTTTTGGGGGAATAATGTCGCAATATATATTGTGCGGATTCATACAAAAAAATAGTCAAATAAAGTTATTGAAATAAAATAAAGATTACCCAATGAGTTTCCTGGTCCCATGATGACCCAATCTGCCGAGCTACCAGCAAGGCCATGTAGAATCACTACAGGAATTCCATGTGAGTGTAGCTTGAAATTTGGTTTAGTAGGAATTCGATGAACTTCTAAAATGTATCCATCGGCAGTCACAACATTGTGTATTTCCACAGGATATCCATATTTTTTCACCAGATCAGGCTAATCATAAATATTCTCACATTATAGGTTTCAAATAATTTTTATCCACCACTTTTGATTTTTATAACCAAAATGAATTATCTCTGAACTTTTTTCTCTTACATAACATCGAGAAATATCAGTATCGTTTTCGTTCCATAAATCTCAATATCTATTCTCAAATCACGTACTCTCCACTAGTGAGATTTACCTTACAGCGTAGACGGTACTTACAGTTTTAAGTTCAATGTCGGGATTTCTATCTAGTCGCGAGAGCACAATTCGCAATAGCAGGTTGATCACGACAACGAAACTGGTTTTTGCTTTAAATGCCATCATCGGCGCTTGTAACTCTTACTACTGGTTTACATATGCAGCTTATATATCCTCCACGCCTTCTCCATGGCTGCTATTCGGTTCACGCACTTTTATGCTTCGTACGGGATTCTCGATAACACGCTTTTCTGTTAGTCTGATTACAGTTTATAACTAAAGAATTTTTAATGTTTTATTGCACAAGATCTCATCTATCTAAATAAAAAATGAATGCTTTGAAATTTAGAGTCAAAATTTAAGTATTAGAAACACGCTTTTACTCTCTGACTATCAGCATAAACGTTTAAGATGACGATACATGAAAGTTTGTTGTTTAACGATTATGTATGCAGTCCGTTGAACTGAGCTAAAATAAATTTCTTATACGCGGGGAATTTCACAATGCCACCGTTTCATTGTTGACTTCTTCCACTCTTTCTCCCTCACTTTCACTTAAACGTTTTCAAGGTATACAATTAATTGCACGCATAAAAATAAATATGGGATAGCCAATTTATAAGTCGTAAGATAAAGCCCTTAGAACATCAATGATCAAACTATGTTGCGTATGTGATAAAAACATGTCAAAAATACTTACTTGCATATAATGAATATCCGAAGAAAAACGAATTCGTCATTGTGTATACAATGCCTATGTCGAAATGTTGTACTGGTTGTAGTCTCGTCTTATCTAGATTGCTCGGGGCCATGAGCCTTAGAGCTACATATAATATGTAATAGTACGAAGAAGTGGGTTGCCCGTATTCATCAATTTATATGCATACCTTACAGATATGCACTATAACGACGATTTCTAGGAATCGGTTGGCAAATAACAGTAGTCACATTCTACGGCTAAATAATCTCCCCCGTAAAAACATTTTCATATAAAAAAAACTCACCATACAGGATTGCTGTAAGTTCCCTACTTTAAAAGCAAAAAATATTTAAATCATATCAAATTTCGGAACCCCGAATATCATAATTAAATATAAGAATCAGTAATAATACAAAAAAGTAGCTCAGGTATTATAAGAGATTTTGAGAATACAATTAAAATGATGAGCTAATGCTAGATTATATAATACGCAGAGAAATGTCGTGACTTATGTACTTAGCATTATAATATGATTTCAATAGTTTTTGTTAGTTGAACAATAATGCATGGTACAGATATAGCTTTTTCAAGGCATTTTACACAAGTGACGTACAAGGTGTATTATACGTCAAGCAAAGTAAATATACGCTACGCGTGAAAGTCTATTTTTATTTTTGTTTAGGGCAAGTTCCCGACTGTTGTCCTATACAGGCCCAGTCCTTTAGATTGTCGTTAGGGTGAGGAATTGGCCTATGGTCTATTTAATCAAAAGATCCGAAGTTCCCCTTGAACTGATACAAATATATTGTTACAACCGAATTTTGCTAAGATTAAATGATTAAAAACAAGTTATAAAAATGCTATGGTCTTATAAACTAGGATTATAAAAGAAGATCTCGCAATATCGTGTTCGCTCTTACTCATTCGTACTCACACATAGATGATCTATCGGCATGTAACTATAGACGCCCTCGCTGTCTCGCTGTTTGCCCTTAGAACATGCCACAGCTATCGGTCTTTCGATCTTTTATAATTGTACTGAAGCAACACAACTATATTGTTCCTGGCGGAAATCAAAGTACTTATAACTAATCTCACGTTGACTGACAACGCCACACGAGCAGCTCTTTGACAAGGCCAATAAACAGTTAAATAAACTGCTTGTAACGTGTAACCACGTGTTTTAAATACTTCACAAAGGCCTCAATTGTACTCAACAGTAGCTCTCAATTAGGTCTTAATTCATACTCATTTTATACTCCAGAACATTTAATAAATGAAACATATCTTTATTTATATTATTTTGTAATAAAGTGCAGTGCGTGATTAAACGGAACTGTGTGAAATTGTCGCGTGACCAAAGGATCCTAGTATTTTCATCTCTAGCATTTTCGTTTTCTCAAACATGCGTAGCAAACACACTTTTATAAATGTAATATAACAGTAATAAAGCAGGTTGTAACAAGTGATGAAACACGGTGAATACATACATGCATGTTAAATGCAATAAGTAATTTCCCACCTAATGAACATTCCCATGAAATTTCGGAAATATAACTTGTTACAAAAATAGTTACTTCGCTGTAATAATGTAGCAATTGTACAATGTAACTGCATTATAACGTTTATTCATTATGGGTAAGTTATAGTAAAATATACGTATATACAGGTACACAGGATGAGTTCAGAGAAATTCGAAATTTGGTTGTAATTTTGCACCGCTGTCACTAGAAATTTATATGTAGATTAAGATGGACCATACTAGCAAAAATAGCTATTAAAAAAATAGAGATAAATATTGGCATCCTGCTATTAAACTCCATTTTTGATAATAGATATTTTTCTCTTAGTATCATTGCTCATATCAATCAATTAAAATTGTGGCGTTAATGGTGCGAAACCACCAACAAATTTGGAATCTCTCTAAACTCATCCTGTATAATATGATGATATCCCTTAATTATTAATATATATAGGTAAACTACGATTTACAATAATTAACGCATGTTCGCTGAGGATCGGTTACATCTATCGTGGTCTCTGACCGTTGCTAGTGGGGTACTGAGGGGTGCTGAAGGGGGGGGGGGCAATGGGGTTGCGTTGCGTCGGACGTAACACATGCTGGATTGGTGGATCTTAGAAGTTCTGGTGAAGGTTAAAAAACGTGTTGAATAAAAAGAAAATTAACCTGAAGGACCAACAGATGTGCGAGTAGTATAAGAAACTGTAGCCCCTTGTTTACTGTAGGTATTTCGTTCAACTGCGAAACAATAAAATACTTGAAGTGCTCACATGTAACAAACTGCGTATGTACTAAGAAAATTATGAAAATCACCTATATCATCAACATCAGCTAATTGGATATCAATTGGAATTTCGTCTAAACTAATGCAGTCTAGGTTAAATGAAGCTCTTTTGTTTTCTGGAAAAAGATGAAATACATTATATTAACTTGAAAAAAAAGTAGTATTTCCTCAAATACCTTCTAAAATGATATTTTTCTGTTCCATCTCTGTCTCAATCTGAGAACTCCAATTGTCTGTGCCCGTTAAAACAATCGGACACGGCGGAAACGGTAATAAATAAGACTTTCGATGCGCTGAAAAATTAGTTAAACGTTTACATAATCGACATCTATTATTTTTTAAATTCATTTCAGGACAAATCATACTATTCATGTTTCAATGTATCCATAGCCAATAGCCGACGAAGAATATTTTAATACTAAAGCCTAAAAAATTATCGCTTAGAAAGGACATAAGCTCGGCAACATATGTTAAATAGCTCGTCATCTCTGATTTTAACAAATCATATGTACTTTCAAAATGTTAGAAGAATTGGCTTTCGCAAAGCACAAGCTTTTCTCAAAAATGTTCAATTAAACTGCACATAGGTTCAATAGCAATGCTTGATGCTTACAAATTTTTAAATGTTAATTCACTGCTTTCAGACTTATTTTCAGGGGCATGCATACATTAACCACATAAGTAGTATTATCTCCTGCAACTAATTTTTTTTTATATATTGAAAGCTTACTGTTTTCCATCATTTTATTTTTCATTTTCTTCTTCATGGTTTGTGAATATTGCTTCTTATTTACTTGACTCTCTACGTTGTAATTTTCATCCACGTCATTACTAGTTAGTGTAACGGGAATAGAATTTCTTCGACCTCTCCCATATGCTTCTTCATCTGTTGTAACATAATTGGAATCGGCTGCAGATTTTCTTGTCGATTCGAGAGATGCTGCAATGAAGACATACATAAAATCATTACAATAATAAATAATTTCCAATGTTCCTTCAACTAAAGCAATATCAAGAGACTCGGTCGAGTCTCGCGCCAAGTACAGGCAACCGGCTGTACAGGGCGCAGCGCGCCGAGACTCTTTACTCGAGTCAACTCCTTATACCTGTGTTTGGAACGAAATATCTTATAAACCGTTATATATGAGGAAAAGTTATTGATACATTCACTATAGGAATTGAAGGTTCTGAAGCGATTGCAACCAAGTTCAATACGATTAGTGTACGAGATCAGGGCGTATTGAAATGGCGAGCGAGATGATTTTATTTCAGTTCCGTCGTCGTCGTCATCGTCGTCGTCGTCGTCGTCGTCGTCGTCGTCGTCGTCGTCGTCGTCGTCGTCGTCGTCGTCGTCGTCGTCGTCGAACCGTTATATATGAGGAAAAG